TGCGAAGAACATGGTAGGCATCGGTCGTGGCAAGATAGTGGAGCAGGTGAGCAGGGGTACCAGACCAAGGCAGGACGCCAATTGCTGTCATCAGGGCGAGCCTCTTGTGGTTACTAAAAATTCTTTGCACATGTGCCGCGGTCTCACCCAGTGCTTGCATCTGCTGCTGGCGCCAGCCCCACTCACACCCATTGCGAGCACCCGGCGCCAGCCCTATCGCTCAGTGCCAGCAGCAGGTGTGAGCGGCGGCTGCCAGCCCCAATCACCCAGCTGGCCCTGCTCGTACCTGCCACGGGCACCGGAGCCACATCTTGCACCCACTGCCGGTGTCCAGCACCGGTCCTGATCACTCAGCACCGTCAGTGGGTGTGAGCAGCGGCTGCCGGCCCCAATCACCCCTGAGGGCTTCTCCACCTCTCCCTGCTCCTGATGGGTGATCGGGACAGCAGCTGTTGCTCGCACCCCTGACGGCGCTGGCCCTGCTTGCACAGCAGCAGTGGGAGCGGGGCTGCAGGCAGACAGAGGACCCAGGGCTGCAGCAGGAGGGGCCAGAAAGGGGCATGGAGGATGGGCCAAGACCCACCCTTGTGCCCACCGCAGCCTTGCAGCCCACAGTTCCTTTCAAGGTGCACAAATTCATGCACTGGGCCCCTAGTATTGGATAATTGACATGTAACATTGTGTACATTTAAGGTGTACAACATGATGATTTGAAATACCCATATATTGCAAAATAATTACCGTAGTAAGGTTAGTAAACACTTCCATCACTTCACATGATTGTGTGTGTGTGTGTGTGTGTGTTCTAATATCTACTCTTAGCCACTTCCAAGTATACAATCCATCTGTAATGTTAACTATAGTCACCATGTTGTACATTACATCCTCAGAATTACTCATTTTATAACTAGAAGTTTGTACCCTTTGACCCCTACACCCATGTCCTCCACCTACCTCATCCCACCCATACCTGGCAAGGACCAAAATACTCTCTCTTTGTATTGTTTATTGTTTATTGTTTCCTCATTCCACATATGAGTGAAGTCTACAGTACTTGTGTTTTTCTGTCTGACTTATTTCACTTAACAAAATGCTATCCAAGGCATTCATGTCGTCACAAATGGCAGGATTTCCTTCTTTTAATGGATGGAAAATATTCCATTATTTAAATGTATTTTCTTACCATTTACCCATTGATGGACACTTGGGTTGTTGCCATCTCTTGGCTATTGTAAGTAAAGCTCCAAATGAATATGGAAATGCACATATCTCTTCAAGATCCTGATTTCATTTATTACCAGAGTCTTCAATAGACATCTAAGAACGGATTCATCCAAGTGAGCAGCTTTCACTTCCTTCAATGGCACTGCCATCACTCACAATTTTCAGCGTTGTTATCATTTCCTTCAGGATCTTCTGCACATAGATTAATTTTTAGAGCTGAAAGGAGTCTTAAATCATCTACTAAATCTTTTATTACTTACTTCCCTTTTTATAAATAAGGAAACTGAGGATCAGAAACTAAGCCAGTCAAACCCCCTCAATGAAATCTTCATTCATGGAGAATATATTTTATTTTTTATAAACAATAAAAATAAAAATAATAAACAAAAAAGAAAGCCAATGGGAATGTTCATAAATAAGTTAATAAATAAAATACTTATGTAAAAGGGAATCCAATTCTACCTGAAACAAAAATGTCTATTCTCAAAAACAAATAAAACACTAGCTGATGCCAATAAAGTGGCTGGTAAGCTGGTAGCTGCTCCTAAACTTGTTCAGAAAGCACAGCCGGTTAGAAGTTTTACACTGACAGATTCATCGGATGAATGTGTGCCCTCCGAGAGGCACTACTTTTTAAAAAACTAGTGACATGAAGCCTAAGCTTTTTCCTTTAACAATATTCCAATATGTCTACTTCATTTGAATTACTGACAATATAAATTTTTTAGATAACTATTCTCCTGATTCAACACACACACACACACACACACACACACACACACACAGAGACACACACACATAGACACACACATACACACACACACATACACACACACATACACACACACACAGGGATGGGAGTAGACAGGATATAGGAGGAGAGAGAGAATATTGTTGCAGAAAATTTAGAAATAGTTACACAGCTGACCCTTGGACGATGAGGGTGTGGACTGCACAGGTCTGCTTATACAAAGATTTTCCAGTTGGCCCACTCAGTTCAAACCCTCATTGTTCTAGGGTTCGCTGGTGGTGGGGAATCTGCATATGTGGGATGCGGACTTAAGTTATACGCAGACTTTCAACTGAGTGGCACTCCTAACCCCTGTGTTGTTCAAGGTCAACTATAATCATACAGAAGAAAACAATCACTCATCGTCCCTACCAGGAGAAATCAGCCAAATCTCTACCAGTTGGCCATGAATCCTCCTTCCCACCCGACATGTCCTTTCCTGTGGTCTCCAGGTGCTGACGCTGGCAAGCAACGAGAGGATCCCTCTGAACCCCACCATGAGGCTCCTCTTTGAGATCAGCCACCTGCGCACGGCCACGCCGGCAACCGTCTCCAGAGCAGGTATGGCCTCAGAAAGTAAAACCCAACCGTGCAGTTGGAGGCAGGTGCCTCGAGCGATACGTATGATGGTGCTAGCTCTGAGGGACGCTCCAAACAGGAGCCGGGCATCGATCATCCTAACCTCTGGCCTCGTCCGCAGTCCTAATCCACATCCACGAGGGTGAGCCAGTGTCTTAGGCCAGGCCCGTGTGGTGTTCTTCATTCAGAAATGTGGTGGGAGTGGGAAGGGAAACAGCCCTGAGCTGGACAGCTGTCCTGAGTACGTACCTCAAACTAGGCAGCTTCCAGCTTCCATGTCAATGGAGATAATGACCCATTGCCAGTCTCACTACATCCTGGTGGACAGAACAGCTTCTACCTTAGCTTTCCTCTAGCCCCACTGCTAACGCCCAGCAGAGACCAGAGGATGAGAGGACTGGTTTGGCCTCGACCCTGACATCAGACTCCCTATCAAGGACCCGTGCTGAGGCTGGAAAACACAGGCCGGGAGGGTTCGCTCTCGTACTGCATCTGTTTCCTAGGGCTGCTGCAACCAATCACCATGAACTTGTGGCTTTGAAAACAACAAAAATTTGTTCTCTCACAGTTTTGAAAGCCAGACACTGGAACTCAAATCCGCCTTCGAGGGAGACCCCTTCCTTGCATCTTCCAGTCAGTCTTCCTCGGCTTAGGGCCCATGACTCCAAACTCCACCTCCTTCTGCACATGGCCTCTCTGCGTATCTTTCCTCTTCCATCTCCTTGTACATGTCCCACTCAGATACTCCAGGGAGAGCTCATCTCAAGACCCTTACTTATCACATCTGCCAAGGCCCCTTTATCAGATAAAGTCACACTCCCAGGTTCTAGGGATTGGAACGTGGACATATTCTTTTGAGGCCACCATTGCATCCACATTTCCACACCATGACAGCCACTTCCAATCCATCCCGGCCTTCTTTCCTCCTGAGCCCAGCCTCGGCCTCAAGCTCCTTCTCAACACTGCCTGCCATTAGCTAATGTCAGGCCATCGGAGTTGATCCCAACGGCAACCCATTTGACCTCTCAGACCTTGGCCAGATCTCTGTTCTTTTTGAGTCCAGTCTTCTAAACAGAGAAAATAACTCTCTGGGATGAAGGATATACTGACGTCCATGGAAAATTCATTGACTCTTGCCTGTGCTCACAGGGATCCTGTACATCAACCTGGCAGACCTGGGATGGAGCCCTCCAGTCAGCAGCTGGATCGAGAAGAGGGAAATCCAGACAGAGAGAGCCAACCTGACCATCCTGTTTGACAAGTACCTTCCGACCTGCTTAGACACACTCAGAACCAGGTAGGCCAAGAAGTAAGGAAGGTAGCAAGTTAAAGCAGAGTCAGAATGCCTGCTGGCTCACTCCTTCTGTCCGCTGATGTTCTTTCTGTCCTGGCCCTGAAGTCAGACATCCCTAGAGCCTTCCCCTCCAGGCACGGCAAATGGCAAAGGGGCCACACATCAGACTGACAGTGGCTGCCATTGTCAATTCAGGCAGGAAGCGAGATGAGCGAAGAGGAAGAGGATTTGAAGTGCTTCTCGTGAGTGCCATGTGGGTGTATTTGAAGGAGGCTGTAAGTTGCAATATCCGATAACAATTCTGAGGTCCTGCAGTTTGTAGGGCATGAAGCTGGCCCTCCTCCAGGTCAGACCAACAGACCTAGAGGTGAAAATGACACCTGTGACACGTGGGACCCACCTCCTGTTTCTGGCTGTGTGTGTTCATGGCCCAGGGAGCACAGACTCAGGCACAATGCAGCAATTGCCCAGGCCTGTCCTTCTGGATACTGTGAGTTCACTTTTCCCTTTATGGGTTTGCAACAGCAAAAGCAGCAACCCCTGACCACTTATCACCTAAACAAGAGATTCATTCCTTTTAATCAAAAGGATACTTCTTATAGAAAGACTATGGTGTCTGCAGAGAGCGGTTCCAGTGTTCGGAACCTGCTTTAGTTCTACACTCTTCTTGCCAGTTGATGCATCACCCATGGATCAGGCACCCAACCCTGTAGTTCAGCCAAGCCCAACCCTCAGAGCTGGAAGGCAGCGTGATTCAGAGATCTAACCAAGTTCCCAAAGATTCAGCAAGTTATGCTCACGATTACTCTTCCCGGAAATTAAGTCCCTCACTCAACGTGACTCTTACTCCTCATCACTGATCTGTCAATAGGACGGAGTATTTAGGGAGAAGTCTCCCATGCAAGGGGCCCGAAGCGCTCCCATTTCACATGCCCCCTGTCAAATCCACTATGCTAAGAATTAATTTTATGTGACTAAAAACTGAATTGCAATTGAGTAGTGTACATGGTGGTGTATTTTTAGATATTTAAACATTTATTAATTTTGATTTTGTAAGTTTCTATTTTGGCATCAGTAATTGTTTTTCCAATCTTGACTCTTTGAAAAGCCTTTACCTCTGGTGGCCTGTGGGCTCCATGGCCTTGGAATCCTAACAAGATAGAGCAGCCTTGGCAGTGGGCAGTGCCCAGGACAGTGGTGGAGAATGTCGCCAATGGGCAGGGGGCCACAAGGAGTGAAAACACCGTGGAAGGAGGAGGTTTGGGCAAAATATCAAACCCTGTTCTTTACCTTTTTCTGAGACACTTGTCCAGTGTATCCTCTAACTGAAAGTTAGGCCCTTTCCCACTCTAGGCATTTAGAACAAGAAATTGTGTGTGTGTGTGTGTGTGTGTGTGTGTGTGTGTATGTACACATGTGCTCATGAGCATGCACGGCCTTTGAAATGGGCTTTGAAGGCTCTGTATTAAGTGTATCCAGAGACCTGAGAATGGAAGCCGTGTGACGTCAACACAGACTAATTCTTCTATTGGACAGGAGTCCTCATAACAGGTGGTTATAAAGTGCCAACTGGTGGGCACTGGTGCCATTCAACACCCGCAGGAATCCCCATGGGGGTGCAGTGAAGAAGGAAACTTTATTCAGTGCAAACAGCTCCATTGTGAAACAGCACGGCTGTGAGGTGGCTCTGGTGCCAGGCCCCCTCTCGGCTGGACAGCAGTGCTCTTCCCTGCTCCATTCTGCTCTGGTCTGCCCTGCCCTGCTCTGGCCTGAACTGGTCTGGTCTGCTCTGCCCTGCACTGGCCTGCTCTGCCCTGCCATGGTCTGCTCTGGCCTGTACTGGTCTGGTCTATCCTGCCCTGAGCTGGTCTGACCTGCTCTGGTCTGCTTCGCCCTGAGCTGGTCTGCTCTGCCCTGCCCTGGTCTGCTCTGCCCTGCCCTGGTCTGCTCTGGTCTGCTCCCTTGTGCCTTTCCTTAACGTCGGTGCCTCTCATTCTGGTTCACTCTGCTCTGGTGTGACATCCTCAGTGAGTCAGCTCAGCTGGAGAAACCCAGTCCTAGGTGGAATGGGACAGCGCACTCTGAGCCACAGGGGAGCTGGCTTAAACAGACAGCAATCACCACCCCTGGTCCCTGCTTAGTCGGTCTTTAGGCAAATGAGGGCTCTGAAGCCTCACCATTTGCTTAGTCCAAAAGGCATTGTCCTGATTGGTTAGAATAGAGCAGCCCTGATTGGATAGAGAAAGCCTCAGTCCTATTGGTAGGAATAGGATTTCAGGAACTCCTTTATAATGGGGAGCAGGACACAGCAGATAGGCAGTTCAGTACAGAGGCCGGCAGCTCAGTGCAGGCCTCTCCCTGAAGTGCAGTATACATGAGAGGCTCTGTGTAGATGTGGCCGCCAGGCTTGGCTTTGAGCCCAGTTAGCCCCCAGGAGTCCTTAGTAGGCGTCTTCTTCCTCAGGGCCCACAACGGCATCTGGTCACTTCTCGCCACACCATCTCCCTCTCGCCCTCTCTCTCCCTTCCTCTCTCTCTCTCCCTCTCTCTCTCTACACACACACACACACACAAACACACACACACACAGACACAATAATTTTTAAAAATTCAATAAAAGTTTTTTAAAAAAACAGACTCCACAGAAAATGAAAGCCCCTCCCCCTGCCACAGCTCCACTGCCTCCAGCTCTCCCCCCTGCTATGGGAAAGGGGGTGTCCTCCTTACTCCACCAGTCACCCCTCACAGCGGTAGCTTCTGTCTCCTTGGGTTGAAGAGGGACCCAGAGAAGAGAGGGAGGAGCCAGAAAGGTCTCACCCAGTGGAGCCACAGTTAGGGCCTCAGTGACCCTAACTGGCAGATCTGGAAATCTGAAATCAGACTCTTTCTCTTTAGAAGCTTTTTGAGTTCCCTGGGCCCCTCCTTGTCACTGGGGAGCTCCCTTGTGCCTTTCCTTAACATCAGTGCCTCTCCATCAGCCCATGACGCTCCCTCTCCATTAGCTCCGCACGCAGACTCCTCAGGGAGGTCCCCCTCCCCAGCACCTGGCAAAACCTGACATGCCCAGATCCAGGAAGTACTCCCCCTCCTCTGCCTGGCACACGGGAGCAAGGGCAACCCAGGGGCTCCCTCTTACACCCGTTGGATGAGCGGGCCTCTTCGGGTTTCCAGGCGCGGGTCCTGGGCCACCTCTGAGCTGTCCTGTTGAAGCCCTATCCTCAGCTCTCATTTTGGGCAAACCCCTGCCTTCCCTGTGGGAGAGGGGCACTCACTGCCTACCAGCCGCTCCCTCCAAAAACCTGTCTGCTCATGTCGGTGTCCCCCACTTTGCTCATCTAGCCCCTTGAGACAACGAGAGGCCAGGGTCGCAGAGCCTGGGATCTCAGTTTCAAATGTGAGAGCAGTGGGCCCCTTATTGTCTTGGTGTCTCATCCAAAACACAGCTGGGGAGGATCTGCTTTGACATTCTGCTGCAAACGTGTCAAAGGGATGAAGGAGAGCCTGTCAAGTACTCACATTTCTCACTGCTCCGGGGGTACCACGTAGACTGTGAGAGCACTTCAGAGTCTTGTTGTAAAGATGGAGACCAGATGAAAAACAGGCTGACACAAGACACTGAGGAGAATGGGAGGCTATGAAACCCTGAGGCCCAGCAAATGACTTCTGAGGTGTCAGTGAACAGCGTTGCTCATTTTATGACAGTGAACCCTGCCTCTGTGCAGCCTGGGAGCTCATCTTCCCACGGCAGGTGGCCATGCGGGCAGGCGTGCAAGAGGGGCTGAGTGAGTGGGTACGTGGTGCACTCTGTGTGTATGGGTGGTGGGAAGAGTGTGCCTGTGTGTGCGCGTGCGTGTGCATGTGTGTACGTGTTTGTGTGTGCGTGCACACACATGCTCCTGCTCCCTTGGGCATAGATTCACCTTTGTGCATCTCTTGATATCGGCCTTTCAGTCAAGATGTCCAGGCCAAGGTTAAAAGTACAAAATCAGGTAGCACAAAGTCACAGAGGTACATTTGGGAAGAGGAACTCCACCAAGTTTGGCATGATAGTATAAAACAGCCCCTAGACCGGCCCACTCTGTCCCCCAATGAAGACCTGGCCCCAGAGAAAATGTTTTCAATGTGTTTTCATTGTCAGACCTCTGTGTTGAAGTTACGGAACCTCAGACTACCCCCACCTGGACACTGCTGCTTTGTGACAATTAAAGAAACTGTGAAGGGAGTGAAACTGCTGAGATTTTTACTCGGATTGCAGCTGCCGCCATTCCCAAGGGGCAAGAGGGGGTCATCAGTGTTCAGAGAAGGGGAGGGGAGGGGAAGGGATCAGAGAAAAGGCAGATGAGGGAACCTTCTCAGGATCCCTTTGGGCCTTTCCTTACAAAAGAAGCTGATACAAAAATAGCTAATGAGAATGAAGCTTTAGGTAGCACCATGGTCCTCTGGATTCCTAAAGAACTTAACTCATGAGAGTGTCAAGCCCATAGCTGTCCCACAATGCCTCCAGGGTGGAAAGGCCAGGGTTTTAGAGCGTCCCGGGCCTCTCTCTGCAGGTTTAAGAGGATAATTCCGATCCCAGAGCAGAGCATGGTGCAGACACTCTGCCACCTTCTCGAGTGCTTCCTGGCCGAGGAGAACATCCCCGCGGACTGCCCCAAGGACACGTATGAGCTCTATTTTGTGTTTGCTGCCATCTGGGCTTTCGGCGGAGCAATGATCCAAGATCAGGTAAGAGACTGTGGAGCTGACACTTACATTCAGGTCCACCCTGGCAAAAGCTGGTCTCCAGAAAGCATGGGAAAGACAGGACAGCTAAAGGTCAGAATTCACACCAACACAGCAAACTGTCTGGTTATCTACCCACTGCTCTGCTGAAGACACTAGTCCTTGTAGAAGGGCCCTATGAGGGGAGACATGAGATTGGAATGTATTTGGAGCTGATGACCTTTCAAATCGGTGACTGTGGATTTCACGGAGAGTTGCAGTGTTTGAGTTTGACCAAGTAGAGGTATGAGTACAGAACTTTTCAAAGTGATGTGTGTTTTATAGGCAAAATGACATTGTGCTGTAGAAGTTTGAATAGAAGGAATCTCTTTAGCCTTCTAAGTATCTCCCAGACCAGACCAGTTTAACCATCCTGCCCCCAAACCCCTGAAAGAAAGATCTTTTCATAGAAGGCTGGACCAAGCATTTATTGACGTCTGGGAGTAGAAAACCAGCGTAGTATCTATCTCATGGTATTGCCTGCTGTAGCTTCATGCTCTTTGAGGGTCGGCTTGCATTATCTTGGCAACTTATTCCCTAAAATCTCCTGCATTCCCAGCCTTGTTCTTCACTTAGTTTCCTCCAAATAAAAGGTAGTCTATATAGAAACAACATATTCAAAATCATGCAGATCAGTCTTTTACAACTGACGCTAGCTGTCAGGAAGTATCATGTAGAGGTTAAGAACGTGGACTCTAAATTTGAATTGTTACTCTGCCACTTAGTATCTAGAGGGCAGTGACAAGTAACTTAACCTCTCTCTACCTTATTCTCCCCTGGTGTACAAAGGAGATGAGGGTGGTCAGAGTGGGATGTTTGTGAGGATTAAAGGGATACTGTTCTCATTGCCCAACATAGATGTAGGCAAAGCACTTAGAATGGTGTTGCGCACATATGTGCTAATTATTGATATTATAGATATTCAGGTTTTGAATATTTAGAAACTGACTCAGTTTCATTATCCGGAGCCTCTCTCGCAGCAGGGAACTGAACCAGCTGCAGTTGCTGGCGAGTTATGCTTTGATCTTCCTGATCTGGGTTGATCCTGAGCTCTTTTGAGGAGAGAGGCAAAAAGTTTCAGCCTCCCAGGACAATGCCATTTTCTAAGAATCCAAAGTGGAGGTGAGCTGGGAGATTAACAGTTAATTTAGAATTAGAAATTTATCTGTTTTCACAGGCTCTGCTTGTAATATCCATCCCAGCTCTCATCAGCTCCTAACATGTTCCTTAGTGCTCAAAACTCAGAAAGCAGTTCTCACAGGCTTCAGGGTGACTGCCTTTCTCCCTCCCCCTCTCCCTCCTCCCTCTCCCTCTCCCCCTCCCCCT